CAATCACACTGCCACGTGTGTACCTATGCAACAATCTTGCATGTTCTTAACATGTACCCCAAAACCTAAAATGCAATAAAATAAATGGAAAAAAATTAAAAAAATAAAAAAATTTAAAAAAAGAAAAATGTAAGAGTGTTGTAGTTATTAACACTGTGTCTGTTAAAATTATTTTTTAAGTGTAAACACATAAAATATATATTAATATAATGATAAATTAGTATGTTTTTATTTACTTTTGAGTCAAAAATAAGAGTATGTCCTCTCTTTATATATGTTAATAAAATATTTGGCATATATTAATATTAATAATTAATATCATAACATCAATAATTTTCTGACAGCAGATATTACACAAGATATCGGATCAAAATTCCTTAAAGTTATGCCAAAATATGCATTTTTAAACCTTCAGTCTCATTAGTTTCTTTGTATCTTTGGTTAGCATCAAATTTCAAATACCCAAATATCAGTTTTCTCCTTAGGAATAGAACCTCCAATTTTTGGCTAGACAGATGACCAACTAGAATAAGGACTTCCCTTGCAGATAGGTTAGACATGTGACTACATTCAAGCCAATGAAATGCCAAGTTGAAGTGGTATGCACACCTTCTGGAACATGTCCTTCAAGACAAGAGATATCCCTTTCCTTGTCGTTTCTGTCTTCCTGCTGTCACAACAGTGAATTGGAGCGAAAGTAGCTGTACTAGGCGCTGGAGCATCAGCTAAGGATGGGTAAGTAACATAGCAGATAATCCTGAGAACTTGATGGTACCAAGACCTCTCTGGTTACCTTTGTTGGGAGCCGTTTCTAGTTAGTGATAGAAAAATAAACCCAAACTGGGTTGTGTGGAAGTGGAAGTGGTTGCCCAAAAGCAGCAGTGAGGAGTGTAAGTTACTCTTTCTAAAAGCTTCACAGTGAAGCAAGGGAGATGTGGCGAAGTAGTTTGTGGAAGGTCAAGATTGAGAGAGGGACGACCCTTTCTGGGGGCAATGCAGAACAGTGGAGAATCTGGAATGTTTATACTCTGAGCTCAAGAGAGAACTACCTGGGAAGAGACGGAAAATTGAACAAACGTTTGGAACAAAACCTAAGAAGGGCTGTGAGGGAATAGAATCAAAAGCAAATAGGGAAGAGACTAATCTCCTGTGGCAGAAGGGAAGAATAAATAGAGATAAAGACACATTTGACTTAACACCTAGGTGATGGGTTGATCTGTGCAGCAAACCACCACGGCACACGTTTACCTATGTAACAAACCTGCACATCCTGCACATGTACCCCGGAACCTAAAATAAAAGTTGAAGGAAAAAAAGGGACATTTGAAAGTTCAGGGTAAGTAAATTAAGGATTCAGTAGGCTCTATTTTTCCCAAAACTTGAGAAGCAATGCTAGTCTTAAGAATGAAGAAAGTAGTCAAGGTTTGAATAATCCTTGAGGGATTTGAAAAAACAAGCAAACAGCAAAAAAGAAAAAAAAAAAAAAACATTCTCGAGTGTTCCCGAAGTCTCACCTGAAGTTGGCCATAAGAATTTGTCATTTCCCAGTGAGCAAAGCAAAACGACCTCCTTCAGCAGTGCTTCGCAGCTTAGAAATCTGACACCGTCAGAATGACTCATTAGGCTGCTGTAGAATAGACTATTTGCAAGGCTTATACAGCAGAAGATCAAAGGGTTGGTGGAAATGAGTGTGTTGATGACAGTGTGGTGGAAATAATAAACCGTGAAGTCCAGACAAGTTAGGAAATACATTGAAATAAGAAGGGACTGAGAGTCTGATTCAATAGAGATAAGGGAAGGAGATTAGGCTTGGGCACATTGACAATGAGCAGAGCCGGAGTGAAGACATGGTGGTGGCAATGGAAAGAGGGAACCTGGCGGTCCACAGGGAAGGTCACGCAGAATACGGGAGGTCAGAGGTGGAGCGGAGAGGCCAAGGGGTGGCTGCAAATGAAGTTACAGCAGAGAAGGGGGGAAAGTGGTCAGAGGAGAGGGGATCAAATGACTGTGAAGCTGGGAAGTGAAGTGCCTCATCCAAATGAAAGTTGAAATCACCCGCGGTTTTGGAAAGAAAAGGCTTAGAAGAGAAAACAGATCCAGAGTCCAGCTTCGTTCCAGAGGCTATGGCTATAAACCCAAAACTCATGGCATAGAGACAAGCAGTCATTAGACATAAGAGGTCAGCCCAACCAACTAAAGGGATGCTTCTTGTCAGCATCACCTAGGACTTTTCACAAATGTAAAACCCACAAAATGCACACAGTTAGGTCTGCATTAAAGTAATTTTTAGAAAAATATTTTATTACTATTAAGTCGCCGTGAGTGAGAGATGTTGAGTTCTCACTGTTATTATTGTTTTCCTAATAATAATATCTTAGTAGTTAGGACAGAACTATGCAAGACCAAGGTAGTATTGATTTTTTACTTTTTCTCTTGTTCCAGTAGAGGGCACTCAAAGCTCAAATAAATGCATGCAATCATTTTTATAGCAATTGTTGTTTTATATAATTAAAACTCATCTTTAAATGAAAAAGAGAACATCTAATTTAATAAAACTTAATTACTAGTCATGCATGTAAATTTTACTAAAATGAGATGAGATCTTATAAGTGTCTAAATGAGGACATACCTCCCCAGACACACTTCTTTCATTTTCACTCAGCACACACTGAAAGTGGAAAGGAAATTCTCTTGTCTAAGAAGCAAGTTGGGCTTTCTAAACAAAAAGTTGGGCTTTCTAAAGGTGGCCACAGACACTTAATCCTCAAGTTCTATTTTCATTCCCATCTGGACTTCTTGGAGAAGGATTTTGAATAAACTGGAAAATAATCCTGTGGAGGTACTGGACAAATATCCTTCAATGGAAAACATCTGAGAAAGAGTTAATAAGACAGAAATGACATTGGAACTAGAGAGGCCACCCTCTGAATTATGGACAACCAATGAATGAGATGGTTAATGAGTGAGGTTGCAGTCACTAGGCACAGTCCAAAGAAGTTCTCAGGAAAGTTTCAAGAAGACCTTGTGTTTTAGAGAGTTGTGAAAATGCAAGTACTGTTAGTGCTTGAGGGAAGACTATCTTCCAAGCATAAGATTAACTCTGTGTGGCTTTGGTTGCCATGTGGCAGAATGATAGTGGAAGATGTGAACAGTGACAACATTGCTGTCAACATTTCACCCAAGATTCTCCTAGAGGAAGTAAGCCCTGGGGTCAAATAATTTTATAATCTGACTTTGCCGTGATGGGACTCCTATGACCCAAACATGGCAGCTTTTCCAAACACAGAGGACATTTCGGTTTGGATTTACTTTTTATGTTGGAGTAACGATTATTTGCGGGGAGCAAGTGGGAATCATGCCAGCATCCCTCAATAACGGTGATCCATCAACAGGAATTCATTTCTTTGGTCGAGTTCAGGATGCTACAGAGAAGAGAAGACTGTCTTCAAAAAAGTCTTTTTTGGCAAGGATGGCAGCCCTGGCATTATAAAGAGAACGTTATGACTTATTTATAACAGATTTTTTTTTAAAGAACTAGTTGCGAGATTCT